AGATTTATTAGAAAAGCATATTCCAACATGTCCAGGACCAAGTAAAGCACCACAACGATTAATCCTTCCTGAAGAGGGTAAAAACTATGTGAAACCCAAGTATTTCAAAAACATGCTAAAGAAACCTTATTTAATTACTATGGATCTTGAAGCAGAAGAAATCGAAGTAGAGAAAAAAGATAATGAAGAAAATACTATAAAATTAGCAGAGCAAAAAGCAATTTCATATGGATATACAATACATTGTTCAGATGGGACTACACAAAAACCAGTAATTAATCGAGAATCAGAAAATATAATAAAAGACTTAATGGAAAACCTTCAAGAAGATCTAGAAGTTATTTTAGATAAGCTTCGTGAAATAGTTCCATGTGAAAAAATGACACCTGAATTATGGCGAAAATATCAAACTGCAAACAAATGTTGGATATGTGAAGAAAAATTACATGAAGCTGGATATAATAAAATTCGTGTATTCGATGCTGAAACCAAAAAATATTTGGGTGCTTCACATAGAAAATGTCACGGGAAAAAATCAATGATTCAAGGTAAGTTAGATGATGAGCAAAAAGAAAAACATAAATCTTGTAAGGTATGTATGTATTGCAAAACGCAATTACCAGACGAGGAAAAAAACAGAGTGATAGATCATGATCATATTACAGGAAAGTTTAGAGGTCCTGCTCATAGTGGATGTAATATAAAATTACGAATCAAACAATAAAAATTCCGGTATTATTCTGTAATGGAAGTGGCTACGATTTTCATCATCTAATGCAAGAAATAGCAAAAGTGACGGATGAAAAAATAGTGCCTATAGCAAATAATTCTGAACAATATATCACTTTCTCAGTCGGGCAACTTCAATTTATAGATAGTATGAAATTTTCGTTACCGGGTTTAGCTAAGATGGCAGAAAATTTACGAGATGAAAAAAAGGGGGAAAACAAAACACCAGAACAACTAGCCAAATGTTTTCCAATTATGTCAAAATTCATCTCACCTCATTTGTTATCATTGCTTACGCGTAAAGGAATTTTTCCGTATCAATGGTTAAATAATAAAACAAAATTTAATGAGACACAGCTCCCACCACGTAAAGATTTTAATAGTGATTTAGATGGGTTTAATTACTGTGATCATAATTGTAGAATAGAAAAATGTGAGCATGGAGAGAAGATAGGGAAATGCAAACATAAATGTCAGAAATGTAAGCATAAAAAAGAACCAGGTAATTGCAATGAATGTGAAGAAAATAAAGAATGTGAACACAAAAAAATTTATACCATATCTCAAAAGGATTATGATTTTGCACATATGGTCTGGCGAGAAACAGAATGCAAGACTTTTGGAGATTATCACGATATCTATCTTAAAACTGATGTATTAATTTTAGCAGATGCATTCGAGGCATTCCGTAAAGCCTCATATTCAGCATTCAAGCTCGACCCAGCAAATTATTTAACCGCACCAGGTTTAGCATGGGATGCATGTATGAAGGTAACAAAGATAAAATTAGAACTTTTTAATGAGCATCAAGGGGATATGCATGATTTCTTTACAGCAATGAAGAGAGGAGGAATGTCTTTAGCAAGACGACGCATAGCCAGAGCAAATATTCCTGGATTAGAGGGATATGACGGAAAAAAAGCAAAAAAATGGCTTTTGTATCTAGATGCTAATAATCTATATGGTTGGGCAATGTCTCAATATCTTCCAACCGGTGGATTTAAATGGTTAACATCAATACCTGTCGAGCCATCTTCACCTTTAGTGCAGAAAATTTTAACGATAAAAGAAAAATCAAATCAAGGATGTTGTTTAGAAGTAAAGTTATCAATTCCAAAAGAATTGCATCCCAAATTTCGAGACTATCCAATGTGTCCAGAACGAATGAAAGTACCATATGATTGGTATGGATCAAAGCAAAAAGAATGGATAGGAAAACAACGTCCCGATACAGAAAAACTTATACTAACTCTACATGATAAAGACCATTATGTTATTCATTATAGAAATCTACAGCAGTGTATAAGAGAGGGGTATGTTCTAGAAAAAGTATACAGAGTTTTAGGTTTCGAACAATCTCCTTGGATGGAACCCTATATAGCAATGAATACACAACGACGAGCAAAAGCGAAAAATGCTTTCGAAAAAGACTTCTGGAAATTGATGAATAATTCAGTATTTGGAAAAACTATGGAGGATGTGAGAAAGCGAGTGAATATAGATTTGGTTCGTCAGGTAGGTGAAGAACACAGACTACGAAGACTAATTTCAGATCCTGCATTTGTTAGTAGGAAAATCTTCTATGGGGCGAACTTAGTAGCTGTACACCAAAGGCAGACTAATGTAAAACTAAATAAGCCGGAATATGTAGGATCATGTATTCTTGATCTTTCTAAATATTATATGTATGACTTTTGGTATAGTTATCTCAAAAAGAAATACGGGGATAAAGTAAAACTCCTATATACTGATACAGATTCATTAATCATAGAAATTGAGACCGAAAATATTTATCAAGACATGATAAACGATTGTGATTTATTTGATTTTAGTGATTATCCTGAAGAGCATTGGGTGGTAAAAAATCTTCCAGAAGATCAATGGATAATTAATGAAGAAGGTAAGCGTGTATTAAAAAATACTAAAGTAATAGGTAAGTGGAAGGATGAAAATGGAGGAGATAGAGCTATCGGCTATGCAGGAGTTCGTGCAAAATGTTATAGCGTTGTGTGTGAAAATTCACGAAAAAATATGATCAAGGCCAAGGGTCTTAAAAAGTCTCTCATCAAGAAAGAGCTTACACATAAAATATTCGAGGACTGTGTTTTAGAAGGGAAAGAAGATCAACCATGAACTGCTCAATTCCTCCGAAGTTACAGACATCGAATGTATAGGATATCGCAAACAAAGAGAAGTGTTAACCCACTAGATAGAAAATTGTGGATAGCACAAGATATGGAAACGACATATTTATATGGAGATTGTGAAATTCCGGAAGAATAAAATAAATCGTTCTACTTATTGTAAAAAATATATCTATTTAGTCGCATATAAAAATAATTTTCAATGTTATCATAATAAGTATTTCTTATCTGAAAATGCATATTAATCTCTCTGTTTTACAAATAAATAAGAGACATCTATTGTTGTTGTATAAAAATGATTAAGCTTATTTTTTGACATCGAATGAGGGCCTGTGCGTCGTATGAGATGTGCCAAAGTTTTAGATTCTACCTATCAGATAAAATGCACAAATAATTAGGATCAGCAAAGATAATAGATCGTCCATAGTAGATAAATTTTTAATGAGATGACCGCGTAATTCGAAAAAACCAATGATTATTGATAACTTTAATAGCGTGTACCCATAGCAAATCGACAATCAACGCCAGGGAGATTCTGAAATGCGTATAAAAACAGCTCGAATTCGTATAATTTTTCTACTTCATAACTATAACATTCAAATAAATATAATAAAAATCTGCTAAATCACGTTAATAAAACGTCATAAATTAATCAAAACATAAATTATATTAAAAAATATCATTCTTATATTCGTCAAAATCAAAGGTATGTTAGGATACTTGTATATCCCGTTGTATTATAAATGAACCACCAGACTGACTGATATTATTTTTTAGATGACGCCAACTGAAATTTTCGAAGCTTTCAAAAAAATGTCATTAGAAAGTTATTTTATTTCAATTCCTATCTTGATTCTCATCGTGACATTGATAATTGGAGAAAAACTATTTATATACCTATTTATTGTCATCATATGCTTCGTTTTCTATATTTTCAAACAACAAATTGATATGGAACTCAAATTATTAAAAGAGAAGCAAAAAAACGAATCTAATGAAATATATAATAAAATAGATGATCTTACCGAAAAAATTTCTTTGTTTTATGAAGAGTTCCAACAACAAAGATTTCAGGAAGATGATACGTTAAATAATAATTCGAGTAATAATTCAAGCAATTTTTCAAGTAGTTCTAGAGGTAAAATTATTTCAACGTATAAATATATATGCTACTTTGATGAGAGATTCATGGTAAATCAAATATTTCCGTATTATATTAGGTTCAAGACGCACTTCGTTTTCTGATCCAGTTGTTCAAAAATTTAAAAATCTTTTCGATGAGACCATGCGAGAAAATGATTATTCTAAAGCCGATATGATTAATGAAGTTGTAAGCGATCTTTGAAAGGAGAAAAAGATCAAGGTTATTTCCAACAAAGTGGTGGAAAGTTATTATAATCAAACAACAAAATCCGATGCCAGGATTGTAGGAGCAATCAAATCTTGGATCGAGCTCAAGACTAAAGGAAAAAATAAATCCAAAAATAAATCAGCATCTAGCAATAATAATAATATCGATGAAGTTAGTGAGGAAGAAATAGACTATAAGAATAGTAATAATAAATAGTTTTTTATCTGGTAGAGCCAAAGTATAGGGGTGTATATTCATGGTCTAGGGGCCGTACGTCTCTCCCTTGCAAGTCTACCGTAAAAAAATTATTTTATTCTTGTATTTTTATCGAAATATATTTCGCTTGATTAATCATTAAATCATAATAATAATAAAAAGAGTCATTTGAATTCTTTATTTTTTAAACATAATAATTATTTGTGTACGACCCATAAAATTTTGATTTCCAGAATACAGTCAGAACTCGTTAAACCGATGTACTTGTTTTGGGCTCAAAACATCGTTTTATCAAATATTCGTTTTATCAAGTAATCTTTGATAAGACAAAGTTAATATATTTTAAAAAAAAAATTTGGTTTAAAAAATTATACATCAAAGTTTACATATTCATCTATACTACGTTGATGCACTAGTGAACTTTTATATAATAAAATGCTACTTCTAACAGAACGAATACTAGAAATTTGCTTTGTTGAAATTTCAAATTTTTCTGGTGGGTAAGTTACAAAATTAAGAAGTGCTTCAGCACCTCTCAATGCTTCAGTTAAAGTAACTACAGGAGTTTCTATTTCTTCCTCTTGATTACCATTGTTAGATGTCAATGTGACTGTAGCTATGATTTCTTCATCTTCCATTACTGTTTCTTCTTCAACCACTTCATTGTCAATCGTAATATAATCAATTGCCATAATAGGATCGTCAAATGGTAATTTGTCAATTAGATGTTCCAGTTGTGATGATTCTTCTTCAAAATTATCTTGAACAGTTTCTACAATATGACTATCTTGTGATGATGGTGGGATTATTTGGGGTTTTTTCCAACAATTTTGAATTGTTTCGGAACTTACACCTTTCCAAGATTTTGCACAACATTCAATTGCATTCCAGATATTTAATGAAACAATAGGAGTCTCGAATTCTTGAGAAATTTCATATGCCTCTATACGATTTTGTACCAGTAATTTGCAATATTTGGCCTAATAATTAAATGTTAATACATTATTATTTTTTTTTTATTTTTATTTCCCAACTACATAATAATAAGATTAAAAAAACCTTAAGGGTAGAGTGTAGTCATGTGATTTTATATAATGATCAGTGAGGATAAATAATTCCCGAACCACTTTTAAATCACTTGACACGTACATAGCTACACTAAAAAATAGTTTTCATGACACGAAAATTATCACGAAATCCATTTTCAGCATGTATCCAATCATATAGTAATAAAAAAAAATTTTTGTTGTTAGAAGGTTATTTCAAAAAAAGCTTGTAAAGTTAAAGACAATTTGCGGATACCTTAGTAAAACATAACAATAGTAAATTTTCTATTTAATAAAAATAAAATTATATTTATATTACAAATAAATACATTTTTTTTTAACATTATAATAAAAACAATATTTATATATATTTTTTTTTAGCGTTATAATAATATTCAAAAATTTACTTCTAATGAGTTCACATGGTAAGTGGTATAATACTCTTTGTAATAATAACTCTAATTATAAACTGTTAAGGCGTCCTAATAGAACCTGGTTAATTCGGGATGATTCTTCAAATTTGGAAGTATTGGAATACCATAATAACTTACAAATTACAGAGACTCCAGAGAATAATTATTATAATTTACTTACAGTTGAAGGATGTGATATAGACATAGATCAAAAAACATATGTACCAATTCTTCCTGGATATTCAATTATTACAAATATTGGAGGATCATATATTTGTTTTACTATTAAAAAAAATGAACAGAATCTTTTGTATTTTGCTTGGTATGATTATGGCAATGATAGCACTTTAACATCAGAAGAACATTCTTACTCGGGTACACATTTTTTCAACACCTTCAATGATTATATACAAAAAAAAAGAAAGGGCAAATGGTCTACACCTAATCTTCTTGGTTTGAATATTAAAGAAAATGTTGAATTTCTTCGTAATAAGATATGCCACCACTATCCCTCTATATTTAATGATTGTAAACAAATTCAAACTGCAACAAAAAAAACAAATACATTAATTAATGCAATGAAAAGGAAAGGTGACCAACTTATCAAAGAAATTGAATCAGGAGTAGAAAATGATAATAATATTAACAAAAATCAAACCAATATCAAAGAAGGAATTATTATTAAGAGTAAGGGTATAAATGTTACTCCAACAGAAGCACAGGCTGCTCTTGTCAAATTCAGGGAGAGAGATCGTTTGTTTCATCAAGAAAAAAAAAAATATAAGCGTGCTATGGAAACTGTCACCAAACTACAAGAGAAATTGAGTGAAAAAAATACATTAGATTATGAAAGACAGTTAAAAATCAAAGAATTAGCTACTCAGGCAATCAATTCATCACAAGTGGGTTCTACAATAATAGTTGATACTTGTAATTATGTCAGTGCACTATTATCACAACCTTGCCATAATTGTGGTGATATTTCAATTGATAATAAAAATTGTGTAATCAACAATGTAGGTTTTTCGGTAAACACCATTATATGTTGTGGATGCTGTAATAACATTTCTGAATTTTCTAATGATACACCAAAGGCAAGTACATCTGTTCTAGTAGCTGGTGGTAGTTTATTATCAGGGATAAATAGACAACAATGTGAAACTTTTTTGAGCACCATTGGTATAACATCTCATACTTGTAAAAAAACTTTTCACGAACATCAAAAAAGATTTTTTAAAAATCTGATTGAAGAAGCAGAAATTAGTGCTGAAATGGCATTAAGAGCTACCATTAAAATCTTGAAAGAGAATAATAAAAATATTTTACCAGTGAGCTTTGATGTTTCTTGGTCTCACGTTAGAAATGCTAACCAAGCAACTGGGGAATTTATTTTCCAAGGTGAACTGCCAGGCTATTCATCAAAACCAGTTGTTGTATTTCATGTAATTGAGAAATCAAGATTCATTAAAATTTCATGCGAAGGTGAAGATAAAATACATGAAGTTCATAAGGGAAATTTTGATAAAGCTAGTAGACAGATGGAACATGCCATTTTGATTGCCTGTTTAGAAAAAATAACACCTATTTTAGATGAAGAAAATATATTATTAGATATAGGTGTTGATGGAGATTTAGATAGCAACAAAACATTAAAAACAGAAAGAGTGGTTAATAAAGTGTATGGTGATTTAAAACATGCAACTAAAATCATCAGAGGAAAGATAATTAAAAACAAAAAGTGGAATACCTTTGAGCAGCCAATTATGAAATACTTTTGTAGTTGTGTATATGCTGCTTCTGCAAGAAAAGCATCAAAGGAAATGATAACTCCAACAGAAGAAGAATTGAAGAATGTGCAAGTGAATGGTTTAGTTTCACACCTTTCTGGAGATCACTCTTTGTGTTGGTCAGAAGTATGCTGGTTGAAAGATAATCCTGATTTAGAATTAGTTGAACCTAATTTACTAAAATATAATAATTCAGAAAAAGAAGACTTTAAAAAAATGTTGCAAAAATGTTTTGCCTCTCCTACACAACAAAGTTTTGTGACAGAAATCAGAACTTCTTATAATGAGTCACTAAATCGAAGAAAATTAAAAACTTTAGATAAAAAGATTGATTTTTGGGCATCATTTAAAGCACGTCATGCTGTTGCTATTTTGGACCATAATGAAGGTTTATTAGAATTTATTAAGATTACCAGAAAAATTAAGGGACTTCCATCTCTTTCAGAAAATGATATTAAGAATATAGAAAAAATTGCTCTTGCACATGATGTTCAAAGATTTAGAAATTTGAAAAATATTCATGTAAGAAATATTGAAAGAGAAAATAAAATTATAGAACAAAAACAACAATTAGAAGCCTTTGACTATGATCAAGATCTGGTACCTTATGGCATGAGGTTTCATTCAAGAATTGTACAAGAAAATTTCAGACCTTCATTTGCTCACTTGATCCGGGATTTTAAAACAATAAATAAATGCACCTCTTGTTGTAGTTTTCCTAAGTTCTCTTCTAGAGGATTTTGTAAAACCTGCACCTTTTATTTTGAAAATAATATGTTTTACAATTTGCCTTTAACAACAGACATAACTGAATTTTCAACAATAGAATCATTTCAAAATACTGATAAGATACAATCTGCACTCTCCACCATCTATCAGTATCAAACATTTAGAGAATGTCAAGAGGAAGGTATTAGGTCATTTGTGGCTAATAATGATACAATGATTCTATTACCTACTGGAGGAGGTAAAACATTATGTTATTCTATTTCTGCATTGATTGGGAAAGAACTTACTGTAGTATTTTCTCCATTGAAGGCCCTGATTGATGATCAAGTGGTAAAAATTAATATTAGTTTTGTACATTTTATATTGAAAAAAGATATGAATATAAACTAATTATTTTATCTTATTAGGTCGAAGCTATTCATGCTGGAATTAATTGTGCTGGGATATATTCTAAAACAGGGCAGTCTTTGGAATATCAGTCTAAAGTATTTGAAGAAATTGCAGCAGGGTTCACTAAAATTCTTTTTGCTACTGCTGAAAAATTTGACTTAAATCCAAGCTTTAGAGCAATGTTGAAAAGAATATATGAAACAAAAGGGCTGCGCTTTGTAATAGATGAAGCACATTGCATAATAACTTATGAACATTTTAGGTAAAAAATTTTTTTTATATATAATAATTGATTACAGTCTAATTTATTTATTTTTACCCATAGAAAATCATGGAGAAACCTTGGACAATTGAGACAGCTATTCCCTAATTCACCAATAATGTTACTAACAGCAACATGTTCACTTCAAGATGCAAGCAGTATCTGTGAATCATTACAAATTCCATTAAGAAATCTAACAATTTTTCGAAGTAAAAATTTTGCTAGGCCTGAAATAAATATTGAAGTACGACAAAAGGGTCAAAAACAAAAATTATTGTTAGATATTATCAATTTAATAGAAGAAGTAGTTGAAGGAAAAATTATAATATATTGTGCTACTCCTGACAGTTGTGAAGGTATTTATGATGAACTTACTAAAAAACTTAAATCTATTTCAATAAGTATGTACCATGGAAATATTGGTGGGTCTGATAAAAATCAATTGATTCAAGAATGGAAGGAAGGAAAGTATAAAATAATGATTTCTACAAATGCTTTTGGATTGGGTATAAATACATCAGATATTAGAACTATTATCCATGTTACATTTCCACTTAACTTAGGTAAATATCATTAATCATTTATTATTTGCAAATAAACAAATTAACGTTGTAATTCATTTTTAAAAAGGGAACATGATACAAGAAATAGGTAGAGCAGCAAGAGATAAACATCCAGCAAAGTCTGTGCTTTTTTATTCCAGAGGTGATATTTGGAGTGTATATTCAATTGCATCTAGTGGTAGAGAAAGGTAGTTATTTATTAATGATTATTCTAAAAATCAGCTAGTTGATTCTCATCTTTTATATTCTTTATATTAAGTTCAATAAGTGTCTTGAGTTCTCAAAGTGAAGAAAATGATGAAAGGATTCAATATTTATTAGATCAACAAAAAAAAATACATGAGGTAATGTTTTATTGTGAAGAAATTTATACTTGCCACCACCAATTGTTATCCAGATACTATGCTTGGCCTGGTGACTTACCTTCTCAACAATGCAATAAGTGTGATAATTGTCTACGTTATTTAAAAGATAACCCCATACTTTGTGATATCAATGTTGATGTTTATAAAATGTTGGAAGTTGTAGAATCTGTAACTAATTTTTTGAATAATCAACAAAAAGAAGCTTCTCGCCAGGATATTATGTATATTTTTTGCCAAGCAAAAAACAAGGTTGTAAATGAAAAAAATCTATCAGAATTACAAATATATAAGGATAACTGGCCCAGAAAAATAAAAAAACAGGATGATGCTTTACATCTACTAGATTGGTTAATAATAGAAGGCTTGGTTGTATGTGATATTATTTTACAAAAACCAAATCCCAATTTCTCAAATTTAGTTTGTAATTTGATCATTTGTGGACTTAAAGATGGTGCTATTGTTGATGCTCAATCAAGAGAATGGAAATATTTATTGAAAACGTAATAATTCTTAATAAACATTCTGCTAAATTTGTAATTATTTTTTAATTTATATGTGATATAGCTTCCAAGTAGTCAAAGATAAAGATATTAAGAAATATTACAGAAAGTAATATATATTTAAAAAGTATTATTTTTTTTGGTCAATAAAAATACGTCATATATTTTTTATTTTATTTTTTAATTGTTTAGTGATCGGCAACCAAAAAAATTTATCCACATATCATAGTCGAAATTCGTGTTACCTACACTCTACCCTTAAACGAATTAATTATTCCTGTGTCGAGTGGCTGGAGATGTGCGGTTGTGTTTGGTAATAAATATTCAATTGTAACGTGTGTTAAATTAAGGTCACGATTTGAATGAGTTGGTGCATTATCCACCAAAAGTAGAATTTTTTTGTTTTTTTGTCACATAGATGTATCAAGTTTTTTTAAATAGTCATGCCATACTGATAATTGCATCCAGGCAGTCGAGTTCCGATAATATTCTACCGGAAAGTCCTCTCTTTGTTTTCCATTTAATGCACGAGGGTTTTTATATTTATGAATAATTAATGGCTTGATGTAATCATTACCTGTAGCATTACATGTTAATAGAACTGTAATGCGATTTTTCGATTTTTTGATACCTGATATAGGTCCCTGTGCCAAGGTCTTGGATGGTTCTAATTGCCAATATAGAGCTAGTATAATGTTAAATTTAAAATTTTTCATTAAATACCGTTTGTAAATAAAATTATTTACCGGTTTCATCACAGTTGTACACATTATCCAAATCATAATGTGAAATAATATTTTGTAATCGATCACGTTCAGATGGTAATAATTCTAATGGTGCACTATATATTAGCTTCGCCAGCTTTACTATATTGAGAAAAATTATGTCTTTTTTTAAAATTACTTAGCCATCCGCCTGATGCTTTAAAATCTCAGAAACCTAACAATTCCGCAAAACGTATTGCTTTTGATTGTAATACAGAACCATTAATAGTTAAATTTGCTTTAAGCATTTGTGTTGTCCAAAGAATTAATGCATCTTCTAGACCTGAATATTTTCCTTTGCGTAAACGTTTATTATGTGAATTGGGATCTTCTGGATTAATAGCAAGATATTCTGACTTTCGTTTTAATATGTCACAAACAGTATTTTCACGAATTTTAAAATGAATAGCAAGGTCTCTATTCGTTGGAGTAGGTTTTGATTGTTTTAGAACACATATTTCTCTTTTATCTTTCAACGTCAGTGTATTTTTCATCTTTAATTTTAGGGAACAATACGTACTACCACTACTGTAAATCATTTATAAAATTGTACAAAATAAAGCGAAGTTTCCTTCGATAAACCGATGTTATTCGTCTTATCGAGTTATAGTTTACTATATATGGAACCATATGAAAACATCGTCTTAAACATTAAAGTGAAACAATAGGAATCTTCATCTTATCGAGTTGATTTTATTATAAATGAATTGGTAAACTAGAAAAACTTCGTTATAACAAAAATTCGTTTTATCGAGTTACGTCTTATCGAGTTCCGACTGTACTTGTGCGGTGTAACTATATAAATTATGCATGCATGTTTATTTGTGCGATTAACCAAATTCGATTAATTACCTCATGTACATTCATTTTCTTTGTAAGATAATTCTTGGCGTAAAAAACATTCTTTATTCCTCTGCATTATACTCATTCTGTAGAACCGAAAGAAGACGTAGAAAGAGATGAACGAAAACGTTTAAAAGGGCAGTATATCGAAGTTATGGTTATTCATTGCTTTTATAGTGATTTTATTACTTGTATTATCAAAGAAATCTATTATTTTTTATATCTCAAAACTAACCACGCAAATATGTCCACATTATATGTTTCTATCTGTAATTTTCTCCGTATTGCATTACCAGAGCATATAACTGCGTTTTCAGTAATTTATCAGGCAATGAATGAAGAGCCTTGGATCTTAAAGGATAATTTAAGACAAATATTTCACCAAGCAATTTCTGCTATTATGCCTTCATATACACCTGGTTCGGAAAAATACCTAAAGCTTCTGAGTTTACCTTTAAAGGTTAGTGATTAAATCATTTGATAGGAAAACTTTATATTTTATATGATGATAGCGCGGAGTATATTCCTGATAACTGGGACAAAGTTATATCCAAAGCCATACAAGCCCTGGGTTGATCAAAAATGGTTTAATCCACAGACGTATGGGGGTATTTCTTTTCTTCTAGTTTAAGACGAATATGTATGTCGTGTAATTTATCATCTATGTACTGGCCATACATAGTTGGTAATTTTGCATGATAAAAATCCGACGTGTGCGCACACGAATTTAGTATAGATCTATTTATAACAATATCTAACTTGAGTTTTTACGCGCTAGTTCGATGACGCCTTCGAAGGAGTGTGTAGTCTTCGAGATTTCGAGGTTGCTAGACGAGAAGAAGAATTGACCATCGAGACAATTGAAAAAAATTTGCGGATATTAAAAGGGGATCTAAAAAAAAGCAAGGCTCGGTATGCTAATATTTTAAGGAAGAGGTTAGGAAATGTTAATCCCTCGGAACTTTCATGGTGCGATCCACTTGCGAGCCAGGTTCTCAGTAGTGAAATGGAGATGGTCAAGAAATTACCAGAAGATGATTACAAGTCTTTCATGGTAAGAATAGAATATATTCCAATTATGTTTATAGAACAATATAAATGCATCTTTGCGTTATAAAATATATACTTAAAATTAATGAAATATATATTTGTAGGAACCGGTGAAACATATGCAAGTAGCTCTCCCTCACTCAATCGAAACAGTATGTGATGATTTTTTAACAAACTATGACGATGGTTCTATGGAGATACCTTCACAAAAACTTTCACATAAGAATTGGGGGGAGAGGGAAGAGGTTCTTAGAGATATTGCGGTTAGAATACTTGATACTTTGTAAGTATTATACTGGATCTATTTATTGTCAACCCATTCATAAAATTTTATAATAATGATGTTTTTATACTATAGGGGAGAGATCTGGAAAAATCCAGCTTTTAGCCCTAAATTCGCTAAGACGCAGAGTGAGGGAACATACATAGCAGATATTATTGTCCCTGTTATTCGAGCCACATTAAAAAATCTGCCAATAGGAAAATCTGCATATATTAGCACGTAAGTGAACTCTCTTATTTTCCTAATATTTTTTATTTACATTTCCTCCATTATAGAGCGGAACGCCAAAGCGTGGCTAGCAAAGACAGAAGAGGGGAGAAAGGAAAGCGTCCAGACATTATGTTGATAGCGAAACATATGGATAGAGACTATGAATTAATGTTTGCTGAATGCTCACGTATTATTTGTAGCGACACAAAAGAAGATGATGATAGAGTGAAATTGTGGCGGGAGCTTAATGATGGTTTATATTGGACGAATAGAGGGTGTAAATTAGAAGAAAAAGATGAGTTCGCCATTCTCAGATTTCAAGTTGCTGGACGGAAATTCAATCTATACGTTCTTATTCGTGATCATGAGAGAATAAGCCGTCTTTTTCTTTTAAAATCGGTGAATATTCCAACACAATTTACAAATGATAGGAAGGCTATATTTGAGTTCATTGAGACTTTGTTGTTGCTACGGGTATGCATCCATTTATATTCTATGATATATTTATTCCGCATCTTAATCACTATTTTTTTAATTATAGAGAATTTTGATCGTTGATCTGTCTTTACTATTTAATTCTGTAACCCACGAAAGTGATGAAAGTAGTTCAACAATGTCTTCCCCTCCACCTAATTAAGGTTTCTTTATCCTGTATTTTTATTTTTTCTATATCAATAAAAACTAACCCTGGTGATCGATTTTTTTGTGCATTCGAAAAAATAAGCCAATTATTTCCTATACATATTGAAAATACCCGAATCGAGATTATTTACCTCTAGATATCTATATACCTCTTCATAATTAAAAATCGCTTTCACATCCTGGGTACTCCTATTGATTATAACTATATTTTCACCTTCTATGATGTGCATATACTTAACGAGATTTTTGAATTGCATATACTGTGTAGGGTTATCCGTGAATTTGCCTTGAGTTTTTCGCCTATTGTTTCTAGATTTGCGAGACATATTAATATCTTATGTATAATGACGTATTATATCAAAGTATTGAGACACATTCATTTTTTTTTTCTTGCTAAAGTGATCGGCGTGAACAATTGTTCACGCGCGCGTGATTTTTATTTTAAAACTATGCCTTATATAAAAAATTAAGAAAACCCAAGATATTATTATCCCAATTTGTACAGGAAGAGATCAATCGTCATGTCAAGAAAGAACTCGATATTTTATGTTAAGTCAAAAAGAATTCTAGAAAAAAATTTTCTGGCATATTGATGATGTAATGCGAGGGGTCAACAGTCTCCTAATATAGCTTTTTTTTAGGCAAAAAATAAAGTATTGGTTTGCCCACATCGGTTTTATCTTTTTAGTCATAATAGAGGTATTTTGCAAAATTCTAAGCTATAGCAAGTTTATTTTGATTTCGCCAATTTATTTATTACATTTTGAAAAAACTTTTTACATAGTTAAAAATCGTGCAAATCTTAAAGTACACCATTAAAATGTTGTAATGTACTGTGAAGTGATAAAAATTATGAACATTCTAACTAATGGCAATTATTTTTTGCTTGTCGTAACAAGAGACGCTTCATCGCGCATAATGACGGCTGATTCATCGCAGTCAAAATTACTTCATCTGGTGGGTCAATAATGTCATTGGCATATTGATTGGTTGGTCTACGATGTAGATAATTATAATCTACAAGTGAATAGACTTGTTCATCACCGATTGCTTTAATCAAATCTTCTTCTAAAATGAATCCTTGATCCTCTGCTTTCACTATTGCTTCCATAGTTTTGATTAAATGACGATCATTCCAGGCTGGTGGAGAAGGCTTATTTGAAAATTTCAAGCTTTTAGGATAAAGACCACGCTTCAACTTATCATCTTCTAGTCTAAAAATCGAAAATTCACTATCTGTAAAATAATTAGTTATAAAATATTAGGTTTTAAAATTGGCAAAAATGGTCATCTTCTAAAAGGGAATAATAAATCTGATATGTACCTTCAAGCTTTCCTCTGTAAATTTTGTATTCATTGACAAACTTATCAATAATGAGCATTCGTGTACCTGTTATTTTGCAGACCCGGTCAAATTTACCTCTGAGTTCTTCACATTCTTTTTTAAATAATAAATACCATGTGAGTACTTGATATGAGTAAATATATGATTTAGCAAAAGGACATACCATGTCGAGGAAGAATATGCATTTCAAAATACTCTTCAGCTTCTTTCCTACTCAAATCTCCAACAACATATGGGGCAACATGTGGGACATGCAAAACTATTAGAACAAATGTAGATTAGAAAATGATAGGCTTTTACATTGCTACTAAATATGATTACAAAATTGACCTACAATTTACAATCCAGTTAAGAAAGAATGAATCGGAAGAGGTAAGTACAGCGTGGAAGCGGTTTTCCTGTTTTGTATTCACCACAAGCCAGTCCAGAATTGATTCGAGAAGAACTTCTCCATCTTTTGAACCCCCAAGATGGCTAAACTTGTTTGCTTCATCAATGATCAAAATGGGTGGAGGTATGTTATAACCATCCCAACAGGTCCATTTCGGAAGGGCACTTGCAATATTATCAAGCAACTTTATGACATCATCAGAAGTAATATCTTTCTCATTCTCATTAAATGGTTTAAATTTTAACTGTAAATCATCCATCACAGCACTGATTTCCCCTTGTTGAAGCATTTTTGTCAAGTATTTCGTATGTGTTTTGAAAAATGGTTGGAATTGCGAAGAAATTGAATCATAAATTGTCTTTGGTGTGTTAAATTGTCCTTTACGGCAGTCGATAAAAAGAGGGTTGAAATTACCTTTACTCGTTACTTCGCGGACCAATGCGGTTTTCCCACTACTAGGAGGACCTAGAACAACATGAAGTTGTGGATCGGAACTAAATGCTTCTTTAAATTTAACAAGTTCTCGTTTCCGATTGAAAAAGATCTTTTCACGATTAACTTGCATTGTATAACGAGCAACACAGCCATTACCCAGCGTATTTGAGATACAACTACTACCAGTAGGCAAACGTTTGAAGGATTTGGTTAAACTGAAAACAAACATAACTAACTAAATAGAAAAGATTTTTACACAATCTGTGCAACAATTGATTTTTATCAGTCTCACATGATAAATTTACAGTATTTTAAAAAATTAAAAAAATTGATGATTTAAAAATGACGCCAGCTTATTCCATTCACTAAATCTGAGAACCTGCACTGAGAATAAATATTTCGTCATTTACGGGGGGGGGATTTAAACCCTTCTGTCAGACGATCGCTTTTTGTAGAATAAAAAATAAGACAAATTTTGGCGATCTCGGAGATTGTAAAGATCTCAAGTTCCATAACATAAGAGTTTTTGATATTATTACTGATAAGAACAATAAGCCTTCCATTCTTTTATCCTTTTCAAGTTTCATTGGTATTTCTTCTTATCGGAGAAACCATATACAATAAGAAAAGGCTTTATTATTAATAACGATAGAAAATAATTTTTAGCGGTATCACAAAAAAAATCATTGTGAAACGAATAGATATTATTATATTAATATGTTCTGGATAAAACCGCTATTTTTCATATATCGAATTAATACAGTCAAGGAGATTTCCAAATTTGGAATTTCCAAATACTGTAATGATTAACATTCTAGATTCATTGTGTAATTCTAAAAAAGAATCAAAACAAAAAATGATTGGCTAAATTTATGCAGATCCTTTCATATATAAATTAAACCCGTTGAGTTTTAAATTACATATATACAATATATGAATTTATAGCTATTATGCATGCATACCTAGAATTAAGCAATATCAAGGATGCTGTTTTTTGAATTAATATATAGCATGTTTTCTTGATATATTAATAATTCAAATTATAATAAGTTACTATATTTTTCTTCAATAAAAAATCTTGGTTCATCATGACTATTATAAATTTCATACATTAATAAATACCAGGCTCTGATATTATTGAAACTATAATAAAGTTAATAAATAAGAATATATATATGAATTATTGGGAAGATAAATTTTACATCCATAATAAATAGGATTAATGGATGAATATATATATAATTTTCTTACATCTATAATTAATGGATGAATGTATGTATAATAAATTTGAATTTTTTATGATAATGAATTTGAATTTTTCTTATGTTCATAATAAATGGAATATATATATATAAATTTGAATTTTCTTATGTCTATAATTAATGGATGTATATAAAAATTTGAATTTTCTTATGTTCATAATAAATGGAATTTAATGGATGAATATATATATATAATATTGAGAAAGTAAAATAAATTTGAATTTTCTTACATCTTAGTTAATGGATATATATAATAAATTTGAATTTTCTTACATCCATAATAAATGGAATTAATGGATGAATATATATATAAAATATTGAGAAAGTAAAATAAATTTGAATTTTCTTATGTTCATAATAAATGGAATTAATGGATGAATATATATATAATATTGAGAAAGTAAAATAAATTTGAATTT